GATTTTGATGTTTTCAATAAGGTTTTTAATTCATATGACTGGTTGTATGTGAAGCTAAATGGCAATTGTTGATCTATAAGCTTACCAACATAGGCTGATAAATCCATGGTAAATGGCATTGCTGACTTTGGTTGACTTGCATAAGAAATAAGCATGGTCCGCTTTCCCTCTAAAGCAACCGTTAAACCTTTAAACCACAATGTAAGTAAAAACAAAATATAAAAATGGAGAAAAGTGGTTGAAAAATTGACACGAAGCGCCAATTGCCTGTGGAAAATCTAGAACTAAAGGCCCATGGCCATGGCCGACAAAAATATATTTTCACTTTCTTTTGCATGTCTGTGGCCGAATGTTTTCATTAAATTTGGTGTTTGACTATTCCAAATTTGGTTTCTTTTGTCTAAATTTATTTAGTTGAAGCTTATAACCATATGAACGAAAAAAAATTGATTCTCTGGTTCTCCCTATCTTTTAAATTCTAGACATTAAGTGTGTGGAAATTCTAGCTTGACTTACTCAACAGGTCCCTAAATGTAACTGGAGGGATTCCTACTCCTATCACTCCAACTTAAGTCCAATTCCAACATGGATTCTTATCTACTGTAATCCATACCTACTTTCATGTTCAAATGTCTTTTTTCCCTGCTTCATTTGCATCAAATTCCTAATTCATGAATGGTATGGTTATGAATGCTTCCTAGCTGCCTAAGGCTAAGTCATAGTCAAAAATAATCACAAATGATTATTATTCCATTTTTTTTTAGAAAAGTAATGCATCTCATTAACTACCAATTTTTTTTTTTCTATCTTCCTGTGCATCACACGGGTTTTTTTATAAATGTTATTATGTGAAAACAAATATTCCCGATATTATTCCACTTTTTAGAACCGAATACATTTTAGAATTTCGTCCATGAGCACATGGCAAGTTCCTCTGGGCATATATATATATATATATATTGCCCGTACCCCAAATGCATAGCTCCCTTTATGCAAAAGCTCATTGGACTTGAAGCATATACAAGTACATGTCTGCCCATAACTTCTGCCAAACTTTATTTAATATCACTTGGTCAAACAAGCTAGAATATCATCTGAAAGAGGTGTTTAAGCTTAAAAACTTATGGGATTAACATTGATCCCAAGTCTCCTCTACAAACAATAAAAAAAACAAGTTGAGCCACCGTCAAGTTCACCATTACATTGTGTTTGGTTATATGGCTCATTGTCATTTATTTGATAAATGGTGCCAGTTCATCGTAGAGGCATTTATATCAAAAGGATATTTAGTAAGATTATTTATTAAATAAATATTTTATAAATTTCTACAAGAGTCAATCATTTGGGGAAATACCGTTTTTAATATTTGCCCCAACATTCACCCCTTTAGTGGTAAGAATCTTAAATGGTAAGATTATTTATGTATTGCATAATGGAGTTGAAGGGTCCCTTTGGCTTATAGTTAGAATTGAAATCGGAATGGAATGGTTCATTCTTATAGTTTGTTTGGTTTGGACAGAAATGAGAATTAAAATCACTAAAAATGAGATTTCATTCCCAAGAGATGGGCAGGGAATGACCATTCTCTCGAATGGAGAAATGTCATTACAACAAGAATGGAAATAAAATTCTGATTCCACCCAATCAAATAGTTGGAATCAAAATAGCCTAATTCCAATTCCATTCAAAACCTTTGTTCCTTCAAACCAAAAGGACACTAAATATTAAATATCATCAAATAAACATTTATTAATAACTTTCTTATTTTTCAAAATAAATTCAATACAAAATTTTTATTAAATAAACGGCTACGATACCAAACAACCTCTTAGGCGTTGGTAGGGATGTTCGCCGTACACCCTTGGCAACGAAATGAAATTGCAAGCAAAATGGTTAAACGATGTCAAATAATCGTAGCTACTATTTATCCCGATAGCTGACATATGATGGGACTGGACCAGTTTAATTTGCCAGTTGCGACAAAGCTCAACAAAATCGAAAAACCATTAGAGGACTGGAGAGTAAAATTAGAGTACGACCACGACCACAGGCACACTGCACACATGGAGATGGAGATAATGTCATTTCTATGGCAAAAGACATCACTAAACACTGGGCTGGAATCTCCTATCTGCCGTATGAACTATTCTGGACAGAACACAGAACAAATTCAGGCAAGCGTCCACATTTCAGGTCAATTGTTCTTGCCGAAAAATAGGGTCAATGCGGAAAATGTTAAAAGGGAAAGATTACAATCCTGATTCCAGGCTGAATACATGAGTGATTCTTTCTGCCCCATCACATCGCATTTGGAAAACTGAATTCCGGATAATTTGTTGGGTTACAGAGGTGCAGACAGGGATTAAAAGTCCGAATTGATTTGCGTGTCTCACGTTTTGAGCTTCTTACCACTAAAACATTTAAACCAAGTTAATTAAATGGATGGTTGAGAAGTTGAGATTGTTTTAATGGCGGATGTGCAAAGCGCAATCTCAACTCAAGCCACAGAAGCGGCAAGGCAACGAAGCAAGATAGATTCTGTCACAGTCAGAGCTCAGAGCTTTAAGCATCAGATGCAGGGATGGTGTTGCCAAATATAAAAGGTTGGAGTCTTTTCAGAGGGCGTGATGATTAGGGGTGCAAGGACGGATATGCCATTATTAGAAGGATTGCAGGACAGATATGTCTTTCTGACCTCCCTTCCTAACTAGTACTCGCTACTCAGTACTCAAGTCCCTCGTCCCTCGTCCCTCGTCCCTCCCCACCTTCACCCTTGGCTCAACTCGATCGACTCAATGGCTAAATCAGTAAATCCCAAACTGACCTGTTCATGGGCCGGGCTCGGGGCCAAATAGCTAACGGCTTTGGCCCCCCTTTTCTCTCTTTCCTTTACTCCCAACCCAAGAGTCCAAATCGAAAGCAACACCAACACAGTGGCCATGTCGTGTCACAGCAAAGGGGGACGATAGACATAGACCCTGGCTCTCTCTCGTTTGCGATTGCGTTGACGACGGGATCACGACTGCCCAGGAGAATGTCTTTTAGGCCCGAACTCTGACACGCCGAAAGCGACGCGTGGCTATTTTTATGGTGGTCCCCAATCTTTCTCTCTATCTCCCCCTCTTTTTTCTCTACTATCTGCCCTTTTTTTGGCGCAATTTTTTATTTGTTATAAAATTATTAAAAAAAAAAAAGAAAAGGGTGGGGGTGGGGAATGCGGAATGCCGGACTGGGGACAGGAGGAGACTGGGGAGTGGGGAATGGTGAGGCGCATGTTCAAAAGACCTCTGGGGAGTTTTCACGCGTATGGGGCCACACGAGTGGTCCCACTTCTGTGGACCATAACATGTGAAGGCTCCCGTCCCACGGAAGCCAAAGTCTTATTGGACACGTGTTCAGCAACGGTTGATCCAAGGAATAACAAAATTTTCTTTATAGAAGCGCGAATGCCGGAGCTTGTGTTGTGTTGTGCCACCTCTCTTTTTCTCTTTTTCTCTTTACCCTTTTTTGTGTTATCTATCTCTCCTCTGATCCTCTCCTCCGGTGGCCACCCACTATCGCCGTCGTTGACACGAACCCTAATAATTGAAGCATCGGCTGATTTTTGGCTTCAGGACCTTTGTCTTCTCCGTTCCACCTAAAGTTGACAAAGCAATATCTGCATATGGTGCAGGAAACGCGTTTTCCACAGATAAAATCCTGAATTCAGAAATCATTGTTGCCAAAAAAGAAAGAAATGTTACCGGAGAAGGCAACAACTCATCAAAAGTTCCTCCATTTGAAGAACAAAAATTGTTGGTTGATTGATTGTTTCTTTTAGGTTGGTTGCAATCCAACTCCTCCTGAGTCCTGAGTCCTGAGTCCTGATCCCCCCCTGGGTTAATTCGATTAAAGGAAGTAAAGTTGTTTTCAGAACCCGTCCCCCAAGCATAGAAAGAAAAGCAAAATGCGCCTGTGCTGTGCAAATCCCAGTCGCTTTTGTAACGGATCAACCACTGTCTGCCATTCCAACCAAATCCCAGTGCAAATTCTAGACATTGCTTTCTAGGGCTACGACGTGTGAACCGAAACTTGGGGTTACTGACTACAAAATGGTTGCATTATTGGTAGGTGAAGAAGGATTTAATTGGAAGAGCCAAACCAAAGCTGTTTGCTGGAACGTACCATCATCTAAATGTCTATCCCCATTGTAAACGCAGCGACCCTCCCGAGTCCTGCTCGCTCAATGCGCATTACCCATGAGTCCTCGATTCGAATCATGGACAATTTGTTTAATTGTTGTTGTTTACCCAAATCCAAATTGGACGAATCTACCACCACTCACTTTGGTCTGCCATTGCCCACTTTGACTGACGGTGCTGGCTGGCATCCGAGCGACCTGGTTGGTGGTGGTGTACAGTG